AGTGTGTGTGTGTGTGTGAGAGTGAGTGTGTCTGTGTGTGAGAGAGTGAGTGTGTCTGTGTGTGAGAGAGCGAGTGTGTCTGTGTGTGAGAGAGCGAGTGTGTCTGTGTGAGTGTGAGTGTATGTGTGTGAGTGAGTGAGTGAGTGTGTGTGTGTGTGTGGGACAGAGAGAGAGAGAATATGTGTGTGGGCTGTTGATCTACATGGATTTTACTTGGAAGTTGAGGGGAGAAGGCGGGAAAATCCCTGCATACTTATGCAAATCAGTGAGATGAGATCATAATGGGAGCGACAGGATGTGGGCGGAGCTTCATGATCACTTGCTCTGCACAGAAACCAGCCTCACACACACACTCACACACAAACTCACACATGCACACACTCTCACACACACACACTTACACACACACACACACACACACACACTCACACACTCTCACACACACACACACACACACACACACACTCACACACTCTCACACACACACACACACACACACACACACTCACACACTCTCACACACACACACACACACACACACACACTCACACACTCTCACACACACACACACACACACACACACACTCACACACTCTCACACACACACACACACACACACACACACTCACACACTCTCACACACACACACACACACACACACACACTCACACACTCTCACACACACACACACACACACACACACACTCACACACTCTCACACACACACACACACACACACACACACTCACACACTCTCACACACACACACACACACACACACACACTCACACACTCTCACACACACACACACACACACACACACACTCACACACTCTCACACACACACACACACACACACACACACTCACACACAAACTCACATATGCACACACTCTCACACACACACTCACACACACACACACACACACACACACAAACTCACACATGCACACACTCTCACACACACACTCACACACACTCGCTTTATAACCTACACTAAATCTTCACTATAACACGACTAGCAAACAAAACTTGGAAAAATATGTGTTTGTTTTAAAGTAAAATTACAAATATTGTTTATATATGCTAAAAACAAGTTTTACAGTTTTTGCCCGTTGCTTGAACACTATAGACACATGCTTAGACCAAAGTAACAAAACTTGAAGCTTTTGTTACTATACCTTAAACACAGTGTAACCATACCTTAAACAAAAGCGCTGCTTTGCACTTCAGTTGCAATTCTGCAACACACTTGCTCCTGCACACTACACACTATTTCATACATAAGACACTTCGTTCATAAATGAAATCTCATGGGTACCATTGGGAAAACACATCTATTCAAAATACAAAACACATTGGGTGATTGAAAACACTTAGACACACACCTGAAAACACTTACTTACAAAACTGAACACCAATCAGCCAGCTACAAAAAGGTCTCAGTTGAGCCATTTTGAGAACTTTGCAAGCATGGAGGCAGGGAGAGCTAGAGGCAGAGGAAGAGG